ATATATATACTTTGTTCTTTCAGAGTCTGTAACCTAGTGCATTCACCATCCCCCTGGCAGACCCCGTAACCTTCTCCATGTTGCTGAATCCCCCTCTCTCTGCCCCGTTCTCAAGTATTGCAGATGGAGAGAGAGCTTCATGAAGTCCATGGAGATAAATATTCCATTTTCCCACACACTCTTTGAAGCCCCTTTACTTATATGCATTACAATATACACAAATATATCAATACTGAGCACCCATAGTGTCACGGTGATTAATCTAGGATTCCTCTGCTAACTGAAAAGACAGTGGCTGATTCTGACTAATAATGAAAATCAGAATTCGATGGGGCAAGCGTATTCTGTGCTATAAGTTTGCTATGAGTTAATATCAAATGTATGACAATGGGTTTAGTTTTTTGCATATACACAAATGCACACATATATAAAGATAATTTTATGATTTAAAATTAAAAATATTTTCTAATGATGGAATTTTAAATGATACCATATGTCATATAGCAAGGTCCCTAACACCTTTGATTTCATTACTGAGAATGAGCCAAATATATTTTATTGGTAAATTAACACTTAACTCTTTCTTTAAAAAGTAAAATAAAACCTATAGGTTTTAAGTTAAGAAATGACTTTGGTTTGATTTCAAACTCATTTATTCCCTCAGCATTATATAGGGAACCGAACAGTTGGCAATGCTTAATATATTGTCTGATACATGCTAAATTCTATACAAAATCGTCACTGTAGTTTTTATCATCACTGTAGCTCTTATCATCACTGTAGCTCTATTTATGCTAAATTCTATACAAAATAATCACTGTAACTTTATTTTTATAAAACTAGTATCAATTTGGAGAATACAGGAAAAACATAAAGATATAAGCATACAGTACATAAAAGTCATTGTCAAATGTTGCATCCTGTATTACAGGTATTCAAAAAGACTGAAGGAAAATGGGTTTGCCCCTGTATTTCTTCTAATGCCACTGCAGCACATTCATTGCTGTTCAGTTTTCCAAAAATGCTTTCAACATAACTTGTTAGTGACATAATGAAACACTTTCAAATTACCATCAAAAACATGATCAATCAATGGTGACCGTTCTTTTGGCATTTCAATAGTTTTGACTATTACATGCATTCAGTGTGTCTATCTCTTTTCAAACAGATTTCACCCTTTACTCCTGCAATCAAGGAAAGAGCTCAAGATACACAGAATGATAAAGCACAGTCTTTTCCCTTTCACGATTCACATTCATGGGGAAATTCACGGCATGCAGTAAGACCAGGCGAAATGAAATCTAGTTATTCTAATTCATATTTGCTACAGTCTAACTATCCCCAGCAAACTAGACTGGCAGTGGCTGCAACAAAATGTTCAAATATAACAATATCAGGAGAAGATACAGAACCCGATTATGGGTGAGAACTGAATCAATGGTACCTGGGTATGAGAAAATATATAAAAAACACATCCACCCCTTGGGTAGGTGATATGAATATGCCTATGGCTTCCAAATTCATATCTCCAGTTATCTTAATACTTAACATATACATATATGTACACAGACCTACCATATATACTCGTGTGTAAGCCGAGTTTGTTTTAGCATTTTTTTAATGCAGTTTTTGTGGTAAAATTAGGAGCCTTGGCTAGTATTCGGGTCAGTTTATACTCGAGTATATACAATATAGCCCTATCATTATATATAAATATATTTACATATGTACATGGCTGTATTTAGACCTGTATAAATGCCCTTTGCCTCCTAGTTCATTCCTCCATTTCTTGTTACTCTCCTCTTTTCTCACATTCGCCCTTCATTCAGGTTTCCGTAATCCTCTCCGTTCGTTGCCCTTGATCAAGCCCTACTAGGAGGCATCCTACAACCTCCTTGCCATGGAGTTTAGATTACTTGGTCCTTTGCTATTATTATTTCCTATCCATTACATCTGAAATAGTTTGAATAGGCAATACTCTCGGTTGCTTCCCCAGAAGTTAGGGGTTCAAGTCCACTAAGCGGTACCTCAAAAGAATGACCTGATGATTAACTTCCAAAAAAAATCATTGAACACCCTATGTAGCACACTTCCTCTCTGACACACATGGGATTGCCGGTGGTTGGAAGCCACTATACAGTAACCAATTTATTATTTCTGTGCATAGATTTTAACAGGACCCTGACTAATAGTATAAGCAAAACTTGCATTAGTTTGTACCAAAAATCAGAATATAAAGTATCATTAGCCATCATCAATCCAGACAAAAAATAAGTGAACATGCAAAGTCCTAATGCTGCTGGTGAGTTAAAAAGCACAATCAGATGCAAATATCTAATTAGCAATAGCATGCTGGCTGGCTAAGGTACTGATGTCTTCTCAAGAAGCTGAAGGAAAGACAGTTCGGATCACTGTTCAAAGTCAAGGAAAATAACTAAGGAAGGCATCTATGCATTTTGCAAATGACCTTACATTACGGATCAGTGTAACTTAGAGGATTCTTTTAAAAATAAAATCAACAGGAATCCAGGGGAAGAGGGGAAAAAAAGCCCACCAAAACCAAAAAATTTGCTCAAGATACTAGACCTCCATAATTATTCAGGATGAACGGATGCTCTTTCCCGGCCCAGCCTCTTCTTTGTGATCTCAAAACACTGGAAGACAGCCTGTCGGTCCCTTGGGTAGGTGGTATGACTATGCCCATGGCTTCCAAACTCATATCTCTAGCTGCAGCCTCACCACATAGTCTAGACCTGAACTTTCAAATGGCTAGCCGCAAGCTAACTCTGCTGTCATGTAGACATTCAAAGCTATCATTTCAAAATAAAATTCTTGATCCAGTCTCCTAAAATTAAAAAAAAAATCCTCCTAACTCACTCTCCAACTACTTGTTACTTTAAAAATAATTCTCATCCATGCAATTTCTCAGGAGAACAACTTTGAGGTTGTCCTTGGCCTTCACTCTCATGTCTCCCACATTCAGTCCACTAACTGACCCTGTCAGCTTTACCTTCGTCATGTTGCCAACCACGCCACAACACTATGTCCTTAGATAAGCAGGTTTTTTTGCTTGGCTTTTGTGGACAAAAGTATTAAGGAGGTGGAGATACATATTTGGAGTTATTAGTAAATAGTAATTGGAAGGGGACATCTCCAATATTATCTGAATAAGAGATGAGAGAAGAAGTCATGAGCTAGAACTTTGGTAAATACGTGTCATTTTGTTGGATTGGTTGTTAGGAGGTAGCTGTCCTGGGAGATAGACATCTTTATGGAGAATGAGGTGAGAAGCTTAGAATGGTATCACAAAGTATGGGGAGAGAGTACTTAAGTAAGTATGGAGCAGTCAAAAGGGTCAAGGGCTAAGAGGCCTTCTCTGTGACCCCCTCTTCCAGACTGAGGATGTGCAGAAGACTTGTGCTGTGTCATCAGTGATGAACTCCAATCTTAACGCAGTTTTCATCCAAAAAGACTATTGGGCCAGGACTTGGTATGAGTCTGTCTGTTCCTTTGATAGCTAACCAAGTGAGACCTCTTTTCACTTACGGGCTTCTCTCTCTGTTGCTGTGCAGAGTGGCTTTGGCAAATTTTGCCCATTTGTTTCTGTATCCTGCTTATATCTGCCTGGCCTCTAGTTTTTGAGACCTGAGCAGAAAGCCAACTGCCTGACTCCATTCACCAGTCTCTGCAGCCTTGTGAGGAGGTAGCATCAATTGCACAGAAATGAGTAGGATCCTCAAGGCAGAGGTATGAACTCTGGGTTTTGGCTCATTGGCTGTCACAACCACAAGAGGCATTTCCTTAACGGATTTGTGAGCTCTGTGAAACATTTCAGCAAATTTTAGAACCCCGAGACGCAAGGAATATTCTAAGAGAAGTGGTGGCTGGCTGATAGGAGGAATAACAGAGTGGTAGATCATAATGGAAAAGTTGGACTTTTGGGATATCTTCAACCCCACTTCATTGAGACTAGTTTCCTATTAATCTTTATAAAATAAATTACTTTTGCACAAGCAGACAATCCTCATGACAAAAGTCTCTCTGTCTAGCAGCTAGGATAGTCCTTTTAAAACATAGATCAGATTATTTCACTGCCCCGTTCTCAGACTATCACCCTTAGAACAAAATTCAAATCTCCGATACCATGGCCAGAATTATTTTATATTCCCTGATATTATTCTTTCCAACTTCATTACTCACTTGAAGCTCCCCGGAGAGAGGAATATCACCAGAGAGAGGAGCTGACAGTGTTCTGTTCTGTTGTGTTGCGATGGGGTGGAATAGACTCAATGCCACTGAGCAACAACAGCTGGGGCATGCTGAGAACAACTCCGAGTCTTTGAATGGACTCTTAATGTCCAGAATGCTCTATCTGCACTGCTGCATGGTTTGCTTCTTCATGTCCTGGGCATGTCTAATCAAAGATACTCTCATGCCACCCCATCAAAAACACAGTATTTCCTCATCAGGTTCATTCATTCTCTTTACAAGGCTTATATTTTCTATATAGCATTAAATTTAATATTAAAACTGTATGGTCAAGGGGAGGTTTGCATATCTATGTTATTTTCATAAAATGAAATGAAATATATTAATACTATTAAATAATAACTTATGTGAACTTGTTTTGTATTTAAAGTAAGTTTTTTTATGGAAATGAAACTGTTTATTGCTTGGTTTCTTTTTGTCTAATCATAATAATCCTTTTATTCTAAGTGAATAATTAATTGTGACCAAACATAGAATGTTAAAATAAGTTCATTCATTTTATTAAGTTGCTTAATAAGTATTTATGAAGCACATTCTTGTATGTGAATGTCTCAAAGAATGTATGATGTTTAGAGAAGAAAAGAATATGTACAGAGATGTGAACATGATTTAGAAAATTTCCATCAGGATTTTAAATGATGGATATTATGCCAAGAAAATAACCAGAATGTCGCATTCTAGCCCCCTCACTTACTGCAATAGAGAACGAACATCAACAATGCACCACTTACCTCCCTTTTTCTACTAGGATCAAGACATCCAATTTTTCTCCATTTTGAACCATTGTGCTGACTGCTGGAGAAGTAAAGTATAGGTTTATTTTTAAAGAATTATAGGACAAAGAATTACTCTACCCAAAGAATTTGGGCTTTGTCCCTGATTCCTGGGAAATAATTTCTAAAACTGGGGCATTTTGAGGGATTAAGCTTTCTGTATTTTTCAAAGGTTTTCAGACTGTTTATAATATATGATGATAATGAGAAGACTCAGGATTAAACTATTCAAGTCAAAACACAGATCACATGGTATAGCCCAACAGCCCAAAGTAAAAATAACTGAAGTCTGGGTTCAATCACAAAGACAATTATTCTATCATCCTGCCTAGGTAATGAAACCCAATACAAACAGTGGACACTGAAGTTCAAGTGAGCTTTCAGGCTGGTGATGGGCTGATGGGCATCAATGAGCAAGGAAGGTAATGTGTGCTTAGGGACTCTGATGGGCCACATTTTGGATCTCTCTAGATTTTACTCTCTGCATCTCCACTTGATACTGTTCATAATTCTTATCCTTTCTAATAACACTACACATAAGAATAGCAATCTTGAGTTGAGTCATTCTAGAAAATATTGAAATCTGAGAGGGCTGTGGGAATCCTAATTTGTAGCCAGTTAGTCAGATTTGTATGTGATCTGTGAAACTTTGAGCTTGTTGCTGGTACTGGAAGTCTTAGAAAGACTTTGAATATAAAGTTTAGATCTAACTTAGTATATAAAGTTTAGATCTAACTCTGGGTATTAGGGTCAGAAGCATTGTATTATAATTAATGTCAGAATATTATTAGACAGATATATTTAAGAATATTCACCAAATACATATAAAGGCATAGTAATATTACTCAGCCATATGCTCAGGAGTGAGCCACTACCTTTTATACTCAAATTATAGTTTTCATGTGGCTTAAAATAGATGTGAGTCAAAGACAGGGCCTGGGGGAAGAAGCCATCTTACTTAGTTCTTGCAGTCTTCTTAAGTACATTCTATCTTCCTGAGATTCTTGCATTTGAAGGCAAAAGCGTAAAGTAGATTTGGCCATAGCAAACCAGCCTTTTCTCCACTGATCCAGGGCATGGCAGTCTTTGTAGAAGAGTTGACCAATCAAATCATAGTCAGCTTCTGTTAAGTTTTCAGCAACAAAGGGAACAAAATGCTGTTAAAACAAATACAGAAAGGTAATAAAGACAGTGAAAATAATACTACATAATAATTTCTTCCTTTGTACACATGTGACAGAGTGGAAGTTAATGCTTTAATAACTATTTTAAAGATTTCTAAATTAACTCAAATTTTAAAACAATTACTTAACCTTGCTGTCTGTCTTAAAGCTGAACTTCTATAATGTATCTTAAAATGGTAGCCTTTTTAAACACTGTCCTTGTTACATACAGAGAGGTGATGAAAGAGGAATGTACTATCTTTGTTGATTTGTCACAACTTTCTCAAAATCAACCCTCAATGTATTCCTCCATTGATGTTTTTAATCGCTCTTTCTCTTTCCCCGTTGGGTAAATCATGAATAAAGTATCTACTTATATAAAAGCATATAGTAAAATGATCAGAACACTAAAAAGATCTTAACTACAAAAATATTTTGATTTGAAGCATAGTTTCTTCATGGTCCTACATCCATTCTTCTCTGCCAAAGTGCTGTGTACAATGTTCATGGAATCCTGAAGCTTCATCACAGGTTGAGGATTTTCTCTAGGTTTAGAATGTTGTTGTGTGTTGTTGAGAGAGGGTTTCAACTCATTGTGGCCCTGTCAGGCAGGGTCATTCCTCGAATGATTCTGGCAGCAGGCTGCCAGGGTTTTTTTTCCTACGGACTCGCCAACAGTTTGAGTTACCAGTCTTTCAGTGAGCAGCTGAGGGCTTATTCACTGAGCCACCAAGGCTCCTTGCAGTTAAGATAATAATGCAATACTTAAATACCTTGGCAATTGTCTCTATCCATTTTCTTTGGGCTTGAGGTGTTTCAGCTCCAAATAAAAACACGCGTTCGGAGGGTAAGTAGATCTCAAAGGTGAAGATGGGCCTATAGGTGACATGAATAAAGACATACCATCAGTTATGTAAACTTGCTTCTTAGGAGAACAAATAAGGCAAAGCTCAAATTGCTTATTAAATTGCTTAGGAAAATGAGACAATGCTGTGAAATCTAAGTATCGTGCTGTTGGTAATTTGCATTTTATTCCATTAATCAAAAATGAGACTAGACTGGATCAGACACAAGGATGACCCTTCTGGTCCCTGAAGTCCCCTGTCCTGCACTCATGCTAGCATGGCAAAGGAGTCTCTTTTCTCCTCCATTCTCTCCAACCACTATCGTCCCAATAGTTCTCCAATTAATCCTCTCTGAAGGCATCTCATTCAATCTCCAAATTTCATTTCCTTCCATTAGATGAATTAGGAGGACAACCTCTTATATTGAGATCTCTTCTGAGTCCTCATCTTACTCCAGCTATTTCCCAGAACTTGTTAAGTAAGTGTTTCTTTACCACAGAAACATCAAAATACCTTATAATAAAAGTTTCGTCTTTCCTCCTTTCTACACCAAACCTGTTATATCCGCCTCATGCCCTTATTTTCAGCATCACCATCTATCTCATCAACTAGCTTAAAACCTTAGAGAGTTATTTATTCTTCCCCTTAGCATCGATTCTTTAGTCATAAGATTCTCTCAAACTCATTCTTATCTCATTTTAATAATCTCTCACTCTGGACAATTTCTGAGTAATGAAAGCTTCTCTTCATTCTCTTCCTTACCGCTTTTCCCACATAGCTTCCTAAAAGGCAAACTTATGTAACTGCTCATTGCCTACACAACTGAGCTCAAATTTCATAATAGGTTATGTAAGGAAATTCAGAATCTGGCTACACAAATGATTTTTAGTCTTGTCTCCTTGTAGGTGCTCACTGGCTACAAATCTATTTGTACCAATTTCAGTTTAACATGACCTTTATATTTTGAATGGCTATGTACTGACATAGTCAATATAGCTTTAAGATTTCATATACATATAAAATGTTTACATATATGAATGTGCTTCATAAATACTTATTAAGCAACTTAATAAAATGAATGAACTTATTTTAACATTCTATGTTTGGTCACAATTAATTATTCACTTAGAATAAAAGGATTATTATGGTTAGACAAAAAGAAACCAAGCAATAAACAGTTTCATTTCCATAAAAAACCTTACTTTAAATACAAAACAAGTTCACATAAGTTATTGTTTAATAGTATTAATATATTTTATTTCATTTTATGAAAATAACATAGATATGCAAACCTCCCCTTGACCATACAGTTTTAATATTAAATTTCTATGCACCTATACAATTTAAAAAATTTTCAATATTGCTATTTTTAAAAACCCTTATTCCAGGAAATTTGATAAGATTCCACACAATGATATCAGATGGTTTGTTTCTAAAATCCCTCATGAGAATCCCATTAAATTATTTTGCGAGTCAAATATATTACACAACTTTTCATTGCAATTTTTAGACCAGAGTAGATCATTACACAATTTAGAATTTCTATATGCTATTGAATATGCATATTATATTTACATTAATGTAAAAAACTTAATGGAATGTTATATTTTGTGAACTGGTTCAATCATGATTATCTTTAAAAGAACTTTTCAAATTATGTTCACATTTTTCCAAATAAGCAAATCACAGAAATCATAGAATTGTAACATTCAAGAATGGAATGTTGGGAATTTCCTTCAAATAAAGTGGGGACATGATAGCTTTCCATATCACCTATCATAATATAATAATTTTCCAAAATTTCACTGAATTCCAGTCTCTAAGATTCATCAAAAATTCCAAAATCAGCAAGCATCACAGGCAAAGAAACTCTTCTATGAGAAGCACATGGAAAATGGAATTGGTAACAAAACTCAATGCCTGTTGTGATAATACCTGAAAACATGTTTTACTTTTTAGGTGTTTATTGTTATACCTACCCAGTACTTAAGTAGAAGTCTTCTTTATGTACAGCCAGGCAGATAACTTCATTGATATTAATAGTGCCATTAGGTGTGGTAGACTTATCATTTTCATAGTAACTCAAGAAACCTCCTTCCAAAACACACCACTTTTTATTTGCCTCTGTGAATTTAAACAAATCAAGTAAATATACTGAGCCATAGTGTGTAATCATTCTTGTAAATTGGGGTTTTAAATTATGAATGCAGTATATAGAGAATAATTTCCTATTTGCACAAAGAGCATGCAATCATAGCGTCGAATGCTGTTGCTTTTAGGTGCCATTGCTTCGGCTCAGCTACACAGCAACCCTGTGCACAACAGAAGGAAACACTGCGTGGTCCTGTGTCACCCATGGAATCATTCCTATACCTGAGTTCACTGACGCCGACATATGTCAGTGCATCTTGTCCAGGGCCTTCCCCTTCACGAGTGGCTCCCCACTTTACCAAGCATGAGGTTCTTCTCCAGGGACTGGCCTCGCCTGATAAAATGTCCAAAGTATGTAAGACCAAGTTTTGCAATCCTTGCCTCTAAGGAGCACTCTGGCCCAACTTCTTCCAATGCAGATCAATATGTCCTTTCGACTGTCCATGGTACTTTCTATATACTTCTCTAGCACCATGCAAATACACTGATTCTGCTTTACTCTTCCTTATTCAATGTCCACCATTCACATACATAGGATGCTATGGAGAATACCAAGGCTTGGGTCAGGTGTACCTTATTTCTGAGTAACATCCTTGCTCTTCAATACTCTAAAGCATTGGTTCTCAATCGTCCTAATGCCGCCACCCCTTAATACAGTTCCTTATATTGTGGTGGCCCCCAACCATAAAATTATTTTCTTTGCTAGTTCATAACCCTAAGTTTGCTACTGTTATGTGTCACAATGTAAATATCTGATATGCAGGATGTATTAGGCAACCCACAAAGGGGTCGCAACCCACAGGTTGAGAACCGCTGCTCTAAAGAGATCTTGTGCAGCAGATTTACTCAATGCAAGCTGTCCTTTGATCTCCTTATTGCTGCCTCCATGAGCACTGATTATGGATCCCAGAAAGACAAAGTCCTTGACAATTTCAAACTTCTCTCCATTGATTATGAGGTTGCCTATTGTTCCAATTGTGATGTTTTTGTTGGCCTTACTTACATTAAGTTTATATCTGTACTGAAGGCTACAATCCTTGATCTTTGCTAGCAAGTGCTTCAATTTATTCATCCTCCTCAATTTCAGCAAGCGAGGTTGTATCATCTGCATACCTGATTGTTAATGTCTTCCTCCCGTCCTAACACTACATTCTTCTTCACATGAACCAGTTTCTCTGATTATGTGATCCGCATACAGATTAAATAGGTATGGTGAAAGGATACAACCTTGATGCACACTTTTCTTGATTTTAAACCATACAATGTGCCCTTGTACTGTTGGCACAATTGCCTCTTAATCTATGTCCAGGTTCCACATAAGCCCAATCAGGCATTTGGGAATTCCCATTCTTCTCCAGACTATCCACAGTTTGTTATGATCCACACAGTGGGATGCCTTTGCACAGGCAATGAAACATCATTCTGGTATTCTCTGCTTTCAGCCAACATCCATCTGATGGTACCCTCGTTCCATGTCCTGGTCTGGATCTCTGACAGCTCCCTGTCAATGCACTGCTCCAACTGTTGTTCAATGATCTTGAGCACAAATTTACTTGCTTATGGCATCATTGATATTGTTCTAAAGTTTGAGCTTTCTATTGGGTCACTTTTCTTTGGAAGGGTACAAATATGGATCTCTTCCAGTCAGTTGGCCAAGTAGCTGTCATCCAAGTTTCCTGTTGTACACAGATGTGTGCTTCCAGTGCTTCTTCAGTTTGCTGAAATACTTCAATGGGCATCCATCAATTTCTGGGGCCTTATTTTGGCTAATGCCTTCAGTAGAGTTTGAACTTGTTCCTTTGCCACTTCTTCCTTCAGGACCAATGAAAGAGGGCTGGGCTCTACACTTTAGAGGAAAAAGCCACTGAAAACCTTATAAATAGCTTTAAAGCATAAGGCATACATTTGCTTAACTCTACATTCTCAAGAAACTTATAATGTCGTAGATATGTAAACACGCTGCCTTTGAATCAGTTCTGACTCGTAACTGTAGGACCTATAGGACCGAGGAAAACGGCCCGTGGTTTCCTTGGATGTAACTCCTGGTGGAATTAAATAGCTTTATCTATCTCCTGTGGAGCTGCTGGTTTTGAAATGCTGGCCTTGTGATCAGCAGCCCAACGCTACGCCACCAGAGAGCCAAAGAAATCTTAGAAACAGTATAGCCAGAATGTCCCTTGGAAGCATGATGGGAAAACGTCATCTCCTATACTTTGGACATGTCAGGAGAGATTAGTCCCTGGAGAAGGACATCATGGTTGGTAGGGCAGTGAAAATGAAGAAGGCCTTCAACAAGATGCACTAAGACAGTGCCTGCAACCATGGACTCAAACGTAAGCACAATCTGAGGATAGTGCAGGACTGGGTAGTGTAGTGTTTCCTTCTTTCGTACACAGGGTCGTTATAAATAGACATCAACTCAATGGTGCCTAACAACAAGTAGGGATGTTCAGGACCAGAGAAATAGGCAGAAATAGGCAGATCCACAGATAAATTGTTGCAAGACAACTCTCTCTGAAATTGTAAAAAATAATGGCCTCAGAGTATTAAGTGGTTAAAAAACATGAATGTAAAAGTGAGATTGTGGCTGCTGTGAAGTAGGTAAGCGATAAAAAGAGATTAGAATCTGCTGTGCCCTTTATGTCCTGTTAGGACTCACTGCCTTCAAGTCAATTTGTTAAGAGACGGAATGTGCATCTTGTACAGGATCCATAAGCCAAATTCAGCCAATTCCCTGTTCTTGTAAATAAAAGTGTCATTGTAACACAACCACATTCATTTGTTTATGGATGGCCTATGATGGCTTCCCAGCCCCAAGCACAGAGCTGAGCAGCTGTAGGAGAAACCATTAGCTCACGACCCCTAAAATATCACAATCTGCTCCTTTTAAGAAACGGCTCTTGGTTTCATAGGTGATGGTAAGTCACCTTGAGAGGGTGAAGTGAATGGAAAGGAGGTCAGTTAGGAAACTACTGACAGAAGTTTACGTGAGGCTGAAAAGGGCCAAAATGAGGAAAGTAGTAAAGAGGGAAAAGTAGAGGCAGGAGAGACAGATAGATATATGCAAATATATGCAGAGAATGAGAGAGGCTCATGCATGCATATGAGGATTTTAAGGAGATACACCATACTGATTGGAGAAGGGCTTATTAATGATTCTACCACTGTTAGCCTTGATTACAAGGTGGGCATGAATGCCATTAGTTAAAAGCAAATAAAATAGAAACTGTTCTTTTCTTAATTTGAGTTTTGTTCTAGGTACACTGAATGAGAGTAGAAATATATATTAGTCAAATGAACCTAAGAATAGAAAGTGTTTATAATGCAGATAGAAAATTTAATGTAGCCTGGGGTAGGCCTAGGCTGGCTTGACTAGAGATACAAATACATGGATGCTCATGCATATTTAAGAAAGGCGTGGCTATGAAGAAGTAATTATATATCAAGAAAGCATCGCAGGCCAATCAACTCAAGTCCATAAGTCCAATACTAGTTCATAAAACCCTCTTCAGACTCACGCAGCCGCATGCAGAATGCAGGAAGATCAAAGCCAGGGGTGCAGACTCGTGTGACTCCAAGCTCAGTGGAAAGACGGCAGGACACTGGCAACTCTCAGAGTGGCCACCAGAGTCCCAGCAAGCTGGAAGACTGAGTGTCAGAGGAGGAGGTTCCCAGGGTCCTCCTTAGGAGAAGGCCCATGGAAGCACCTTCAGGCTGTGACTTGCTTGCCAGCCTGGATTCCACCCTGACACTTTCATACTTCTTCAAGTTGACATGAAAAGATGTAACTGCCACAAAGTCAAAGATGTAGCTGTGAGAACTTACAATTGAGGGCAGCGATGGGCATGGAGAGGGTCCCCAGGGCTATAAATCATGTGAGAAAAGGACAGTACAGAAAACAGAGGGGGAGTGAAGGGGACTTTTAAAAACCCATGAAATTAAATCAACTTTTTAACAAACATTTTGAAATTCCTTCGTATCTCGGGTTATCCTAAAAACAACAACCTCTAATCAATTAAGAACTGGAAAAAAAAAATTCCTGTTTGTCTTCGGGTTCAGGAGATTAACTGGCTACTTACTGAGAATGCTGTGAAGGAAAGCAGGTGTGGCACATTAGAGGCTAATGGACCATGCACACCTCATGACTGTGACATAGGAACAGCCAGATGAAGCCCAGCTACCACTAGTGACTGCTCGGGGTGTGGGAGGAAGACAGGGAACAAGCTTTGAAATAAAAAGAGCCAGGCTTATGGGTCTGATAGACTGATGGAACTCCCAAGACTACGGCCTTCAGTAACCCTTCAAGCCCGGAACTGCAAATGATAGAAAAGTTTGTAAGATGAACAACAACACTAAGGAAGTATGATTTAGAACAATTAACCATGGGAAAAAAACAAAACACAACCAACTCACAGGCAACAACTTGATTCAGATTCTTGCACTCCCAGAGAATTGTTCCTAAGGCTATAAATCCTTAAGTCCAATCTTTCTCTCAAAGAATGGCTAGTAGAGTTAAACTACTGACTTTGTGGTGAGCCAAGACAGGAAAGTAAATGACAGGGTGAATGAAAAAAATCAAAAAGGAAAACTGGGAGGGTGCTATTATAATTTTTGGGTATTATAATGTATGTCATATAAAATAAACTATATGAGCGGATGGATGTAAAACTAATTTTCTCTGTAATTTTTCAGCCAAATAACAATGAAAATACAATTAAACATTTAATTTAAACAATTAAAACATCAACTTTATTCATAAGTTAAAGAAAACTCCATTTTGGGGGGTTGGTGGGAGGAAGTATATTGAACCAAACTACTGATCTATCCACTGTAATATCATTGCAGAAAGTATAGTTTTAAGTTGCTAGGACAACTCATTCAACACATCCATGAAAGTAAATATGAAAATAAATGTAACCAGTCAAATGGATATCAGTTTGGTAACAATTACTGACCATGGAAATGATAAAATA